ACCAACCTTGAGCTGTATCCTTAGTTACTGACTAACTGAGATCCTAGGCCAATTAGTGTCAAGTTTTCCCTTATCTAAGAGAATTTATGGTTTGTTTGTCTAGATGTATAAAAGCATGTAAACCTAAAAATGAGGATTTAGCCTCAGTACTCTCCCCAAACATATGTTCTCAATAAACAGCAAATGTTCTAACTAAATTTATGTTTCAGAGGCTGCTTTGACAATTTTAATAGCTACTTCATTTTTGACTTAACCTAAAATTACCTCATGATGATGGTAAGCTGTTCCGTTGCTTTGAAGAATGATCTTAAAAGCTGTGGTACTAATATGGATTAGAAGTGTGTGCATCCCCAACATACCTACCAAAGGATCCAAGGCTAGTAAGGTTTACTAGTCATTAGTTGCAGTGGCTGTTTAAAAACTGGTAACATGGATCTGAAAGGAATTATCTCTTCCAAAGTCTTTCAAAATGTCAAGGGAGTGAAAGAGAAGGAGGAAAGGGATTCTTTCTGTTAGTAGTTTTGTCATCTATTTCTTTTGCCTGAACTAGACAATGTGAGTAGAGATTTGGAATGGAAAAAAAGTTTGGTTTAAAATTTCTGGTTTAGGATTACACAACAAGTATTTGCTTTCTCAGCATTCAAAATTTGTGCTGTTCACAGTTTTTACAAACTTCATGCTCAGTTTACAAAACTTATGCAAAAATATGTATGCACATTCTTTGTTGTTGACTTTTTTTCACAGTAGTCATGCACGGATCTTATTTATTGCTATTAAAAGGGAAATAGAGTGCAATTATAGCTTCTTTTAGCTTTGTGAGAGAAAAGGTGCACAAACTGACTGGCAGTACTTTTCAGTCTGCAGAAAATTCACTGTCCTTTTTGAACGAGAAGAAAGTGTCATACTGATGAATCATCTAGGCAAAAAAAATTGGCATACAGTGGCATGAAGAAATGAGTGTTTTTGACATGAGTGCAATCTGGTACAACTCATATTTCACCCCTTTTCATGCTTATCAATCTGGAGGTTTGTGACAAAAGAATATCTAATTTCTTTGAAGTCAAAGTAAAATTACTGGCAAACCTAAAACTTGATCTGTGTTGAAGTTGCAAGGTTGCTTCACTGGGATTCTAGATGCAGAAGTAAAATATTTCTAGCTATTTAATTAGTAGGAGGATTAATTTTTTTTCAGTTAAGAATAATGAAAAATGTACTGTTTCTGTATAATCAGTTACTTGTTAGAATATTTTGGGGTTTTCAAACCCTGCTTTATATTTGTAAACACATCAGTTTCAAAAATAATAATAAGAGGAATAGAAAAGTGCCTTGTAGTTCATTATCTATAAAGGTGTGTACAGGCTAATAATAGTATTTATTTTACAGCACACTACAGCTTCTCAAATTTAGAAGAGATTAATTTGTCAAATATTAAAAAGATTATGTAACAGCATGACCTATGTCCCATTGACGTAAATATCAAAACTCTATAGACTTGAGTGGAAACAGAAGTGTATTTGGATGTAGATGATGAAAGACATGGAAAATCATAATTAAAAACTGAAAAAAAAGTCATGCAGGAGAAAACAAGATATGTGTGTGTATATATATATATTTTTTTGCAAGCGAGGCAGCAGTGAAGTTGCTCAAATCTACAAAGTAAGGAAAAAGAAACCCGTTTGTTTCAAAAGGCTCTTTTATACCTCTTCTGTTAAGAACCAAGGCAGGACTGCCTTCTTACACGTGCACACCCTCTCTTTCCAGTTCTAGAGAAAACACATTTACATGACAGGTCATTTTACTGAAGAGTTGAATGCTGGTGGGGAGAATCAGAGCAGCCCTATGCTGCTTTGCTTTGTGGACTGCAGGAAGCAGCAGGAACCAGCAACGGCTACAGGGTGCAGGATAAGGCAGAACACTAGTTGACTGCCCTGAAAAACAAGCAATGCTTTTCCCTACCTATCAACCATTTGTAGCCCAGGGAAGCAGAGAAGTCATTTCAGTAATTTCAGCAAGTTTTAGATGAGGCCATCTTTTGTAACTATACCCTTTTTACTCCAAATATAATTTTACTCAGGTCAAGGAGCTGGGTAATACGATTACTAGTGATTTGCTGCATCACTTGTATGATGTCCATGCTGTTACTGCTTCAGCCAAGAGGGTCGATAACGGTCATAGAGAATGAAAGTTTCTGTAAATCCTACATTTATCTTCTCCATGTGGGTAAATATTAAGACGAATGTTATCTGTAAAATTACCTGCATCGTGCTTTTTTTTTCCACACAAAACCCAGCTAAATCTGCAGCAGATGTAATGGCACACTTCCATAGCCTACAGCTTCAAGATTTGTTTATATTATGTAGATTAACCATTCAGACATTTTTCATTTTTTAATGCTGTTTGATTACTTGTTATGAGCAATTGTAGTAATAAAATAAGGATAGATGCAAAACAAATGTCCGTGTTAACCATAAACCCTGATTATGTGCAGTATTTAAGTGAGAGCTTATTCCCATCTGTTTAAGTTCCTGATACACTTGGATGCTTTTGCAGTGAATAACACAACACTGCAGTCCACAATGACAAAGACTGGCTGCCTCCACGTTTGGCCCTTCTTTATTCATAATAGGAATGAAATCTGCTGAAATACATCTGGTTTGTTTGTTAATGGAAGAGCTTCTAAATGAGGTTTCTGTTACTAACACAGTGGGAGCGGGGAGAGAAGAGGGAAAAGAAAAAGAGATATAGGAAAGGGTGTATGAACAGAGTACATGAAGGTCGCTTTAGGCTACACCTGGTGTAGTTAAGTGTGTAGTCCAGGGGAAGGTGCTGGGAAAATTGAGCCCAAAATAAGTCTGTCTGCGCTATGGAGCATAAACTCAGCCAGGATCACCACAGGACTAAAAGAGTGAGCTTCTCCAGCCAACATGGCAGGCCTAAGAGAAGGTGAAAGGGGCTGTCTGATTGTTGGGAACTAAGTCGGTCTGATGAGCATTTGCCTTCCAGAACAAGGCTTAGAAAGCCTGTCAGAGAGGGAGTCTGATTACATTGGTCTTAAGAGGAAAATGCAGGGCCACACTGCACCAAGGAAGGGTGACAAGGCCCTTCCATGATGGGATAATAAAGAGAATCTTAATTCCTTGCCATGGAGCTATATCTTAAGAGAGGATTGTCAACATTTGGAGGACTGACTTGTGCAGGTTGGAATGCATATATAACAGTGCAGGCAGGGGAACTCGCCCTCATTGATTTCCACTAAACACAAATATTTCCTTTCAAAGATGACACAAAATATCTTTGCTCTTGTTAAGAACATTTGTTTTGCTGAGAATGACTTGGTGGTGAACTCTTCGCTCTCCAATTTTCCATGGCAAGCCAGCAATGTAATACCTAATAAATAGCTTTTGCTAGACGTTTCTTTACTCTGTTTTATACTTCCCTGGTACAGAGAAAGATACATACCCAGGACAAGGAGCACCCTTTCTGTACAAAATCTAACTTTGCAGCATTCTCCTGAGTGATGTTGTTTCTTTATGAAACATCTATCACTGTGGGGAGGGGGAAATATTGCCAGAACAGTTTTCTGTATTATTGCCTTCCCTGGATCCTTTTTGATAATTTACTATGTGACTAACTGAAAACAAGTTGTTGCTATTAAATGTATTATCATATGGTACAAGGGGGGGTATACCTGCACTAGGAAGAAAGCTGTTCTGGGCAATTTAAGACAGGCTGGAAGAAAAATCAGTGCCTATTTTCAACTTGACTTCTCCCTTAGACCTTAACTCCCATTATTGTCTACATTTAAACTGCAGCAGCATTTTCTTGACTACTGTTGCAGCCTGTTACCTAACTGCACCTTAATAACCTATGTAACCTTACCTAAGTAGCCTAGCCAGCTAGGTTGAGCAGGATGGGACTCCGTCAGGCCTCCTCCAGTTATACTGCTGGTGAATGTCTGCAGGGGAAAGGAATCTTCACGAACCTCCCGGGATCTCAGTGAGCTCAACGGCCAAAAGTTTGGAAAATTACTTTTCTATTTGAGCTTTGGCTCATCATCATGGTGTGGGTGCAGAGGGGGCTAGAAGGGCAGATAAAATCCATCTGCTGCCTTGTTTGGGCTGGGAGCGGACCAGCAGCAGCGTGACTGGCTGTGGGTGGCATGAGTTTCCCCTCACGCAGAACGCCGTGTACCTACTACACAACCTCTTTTATCTCCCTCTCGGCCAGATCCAAACGTGACGAGAGGTTGGCTTGGCAGTTTCAGCTCCCACCATGGGCGTTT